TCCATTCGTCCTAAAATATACTAACCATAAATGCTATTCCTTTATAAAAGAGAGATCCATTTAAAATATAAGTGTTTTTACTCCTGAAAACAATTTATGCAACCTCACATACGCGCATTTGCATTATCTTGATACGAGGTGTTGCATTTTTTTTACACGACGATATGTATTTACATATGTAGGCATTCCATACCAAAACGATCGGGTTTCACACTTCGTGTGATTTGTTTAAAATTTTAAGGGCTGATGCATAAACATAATTAATAAATAAATATGAAACTTGAGCTTGATTAATACATTTTTAAAACCTTTACTGCACAAAAAGAAAAAAAAAACGATCAAATATCCCGAAAACGGCGCGAGGAAAAAATTCGAAAAAATCACACATACATACATCAAAATTCTCTATGAAAAGAGATATTAAAAAATTTTATTTTCTTGAAAAATTTTTTACATAAAAATTTTTTGATACAAAATTAGTTTTTGAAAATATGCCATCTAAAAATATATTTAAGTGTAGTATTATGGGGTGCACTCTACAATGATTTGAGTTATGAATTTTTTTTACACCGAAGGTGAGTAAAATGAATACATTAGAAATTTACAATTTTTTTAAATTTTTTTTTGAATTATTTTGAGTATGCAGTCTTACAGCCCATTAAATTTTAGTCATAAAGTGTTACTGCAAAATTGCGTTGTTTTTTAATATTTTTTACACTGTCGGCTTTTTGCATTTTTTCTTATGGAAGAAAATGCGCAAAACTGTTTTCAAAGAAACTTAAAAAACATTAACGCCAGGTTTGCAATCGCTTAAAACTTGCACTTTATTTTACTAAAATTTAATGGGCTACAAAACTGCATACTAAAAAAAAATCTAAAAAAAATTTAAAAAATTTGTAAATTTGTAATGTACTGATCTTACTCAACTTCGGTTAAAAAAAAATTCATAACTCAAATTATTGTAGAGTGCAATACTAATAATACTATACTTAAATATTGCAACACTCAGAGGCTACCACTATGATTTAAAATTTTTTTTTGAGATGGCATATTTTCAGAAACTATTTTTTTTAACAAAAAATTTGTGTGTGAAAAATTAAAAAAAAAAAAGATTTTACAAATATTTCTTTTCATAGAAAATTTATATGTATGTACTTATGTCTAATTTTTTTAAATTTTTTTCGCCCCGTTCTCAAGATACTACTAAATCGATTTTAACAGGTCTATTCTGCACATTACCGAAGATTTTGTTACGAGTTCTTGTCTCCGCGATTCTAGGTACGTTGGTAATGCGGTTAAAATATTCAGCAATTCAGCTATGAAGAATGGTGGAATTTCGGCATTGCATAAAAGGGTTTAAAATTTGACAGGAACTTTACCGGTTACAACATTTTTATTACCAGCGCAGAATAGACCTGTAAATCATTAGTGTTAATGTAAAAAATTATTGCAGTAATTTTTGAAATTTAATGCAAATAAAAATTACACTAATATTGATAAATTACTGCTTCATAAAATTTTAATGCTTAAATTCTGAAAAATCTTTTAATGCCTAGTAGAAGTCAACACAATGGTCATGAAAAATTTTAGTGCATGTGCCTTAATATACATATATCAACTGTAAATTTATGTACATAATTGTTATTGTGGAATGTAATTATGGTTAATTAATTATTATGTGTATATTGAAACACATACGTCTGTCAAGTTAGCAGAAAACTCAACTACGGTATGTAGTACTAACTTGACACCATACTCCTAGTCGATATAATTGAGATATTGGAAATACTATAACAGCATTAATTTTTTTGTTGTTTATTTGTTATGGAAAGAAAAAATTTTGAGCTTTCGTTTTTTAGGAAATAATGGTATGTAGTGCTAACTTGACACCATACGCCTAGTCGGTAGAATTGAGATATTGAAAATGTTATTTCATTTCATTTCATTTAACGGCATTAAATGCAGCTTTTTTGTTGTAAATTTGTTGCGGAAAAAAATTGTAGCTTTCGTTTTTTAAGAAAAAATGGTATGTAACGCTACTTGATATTATACACCTAGTCGATAGAATTGCGATATTGAAAATGTTATAACGGCATTAATTGCAGCTTTTTTGTTGTAAATTTGTTGCGGAAAGAAAAAAATTGTAGCTTTCGTTTTTTAAGAAAAAATGGTATGTAGTGCTAACTTGACACCTTACACCTAGTCGATAGAACTGAGATATTGAAAATGTTATAACGGCATTAATTGTAGCTTTTTGTTGTAAATTTGTTGTGGAAAGAAGAAATATTTAGCTTTCGCTTTTTAGGAAAAAATGGTATGTAGTGCTAACTTGACACCATACACCCAGTCGATAGAATTGAGATTTCCAATATGTTACTATGCCATTAGATGTAGCTTTTAACTTTAAAATTTGTTGTGAAAACAAAAAATTTGTAGCTTTCGTTTTTCTGAAAAAAATTGAGTTGACCCTTTTTCAAACAAAATTTAGTATGTAGTGCTAACTTGACACCAGGCCCCATTGACGACAGAATTGAGATATTGAAAAGGTTACAACGGCATTAATTGTAGCTTTTTTGTTGTGGAAAGAAAAAATTGTAGCTTTCGTTTTTTAGGAAAAAATGGTATGTAGTGCTAACTTGACACCATACACGTAGTCGATAGAATTGAGATATTGAAAATGTTATAACGTCATTAATTGTAGCTTTTTTTGTTGTACATTAGTTGCGGAAAGAAAAAGTTTTAGCTTTCGTTTTTTAGGAAAAAATGGTATGTAGTGCTAACTTCACACCTTACACCTAGTCGATAGAATTGAGATATTGAAAATGTTATAGCGGCCTTGATTGTAGCTTTTTGTTGTAAATTTGTTGTGGAAAGAAAAAAAAATTAGCTTTCGCTTTTTAGGAAAAAATGGTATTTAGTGCTAACTTGACACCATACACCTAGTCGATAGAATGGAGATACTGAAAATGTTCTAGCGGCATTAATTGTAGCTTTTTTGTTGTAAATTTGTTGTTGAAAAAAATTGTAGCTTTCGTTTTTTAAGAAAAAATGGTATGTAGTGCTATCTTGACACTATGCACCTAGTCGATAGAATTAAGATATTGAAAAGTTACAACGTCATTAATTGTAGATTTTTTTTTTTTTAGCTTCCGATTTTCTGGCAAAAAATTGAGTTGACACCTTGCCCCACCGCCTATTAAATTGAGATAACATACTGGATTTCTCAATGCTATCGACTAGGTGCATGGTGTCAAGTTAGCACTACATACCATTTTTCTTAAAAAATGAAAGCTACACATTTTTTCTTTCCACAACAAATTTACAACAAAAAAGCTACAATTAATTCCGTTGTAACCTTTCAATATCTCAATTCTGTCGTCAATTGTGTAAGGTGTCAAGTTAGCACTACATACTAAATTTTGTTCGAAAAAGGGTCAACTTAATTTTTTCCGGAAAAACTAAAGCTACAAATTTTTGCTTTTCACAACAAATTTTAATGTTAAAAGCCTCAATTAATGGCATAGTAACATATTGGATATCTCAATTTGTAGTGTCAAGTTAGCACTACATACCATTTTTTCCTGAAAACGAAAGCTAAAAATTTTTTCTTTGCACAACAAATTTACAACAAAAACTGTATAATTAATGCCTTAGTTAACTTTTCCGATTTCGAAAAGTGTAGTGCTAACTTGACACACGCCAAATACACACTCCCTGAATATGGGTCGAGAAGCGCTAAAACGCGTAGGAGGGAAAAGGAAAACTTATTTTCGCTTTTTATTTCAACGGCCGAAGTATGTTTTATTTATTTATTTATTTTTGACAGTCATTTGACCTATGTATATTCACATATATACTAACATTTGTAATATATATTGCAAAATTAATCTATATATATAAATGTGAATGTCTGTTTGTTTATTATCTTATAACTTTTGAACCACTTCACGGAACCGCACGAAACTTTGCACAGTTATTTGCTTTTACTCCGGGATAGGGGCATGGTTTTGTTTGCAAATATGGTGCCAATTTTGCGAGGGGGCGTGGCACCTCCCATAGGGCTGCAAATTTTTAATCAGCTATAACTTCGGAACCATAAGTCACATGAACTTGAAATTTGGTATGCAGACAAATCTATGGTAGATGCTTACAGTAAGGTTTATATAAATGACTTTGTTGGAGGGCGCGTGGCATATCTCATAGAATTTTTAATCAGCTCCGGAACCATAAGTCACATAAAATTTAAATTTGGTATGTAAACATATCAATGGTAGGTGCTTATAGTAAGGTTTATATAACTGGGCAAAAACACCTGCAGTGCCAAAAAATTATTATTGCATTTCATTCCATAACACCCAAGCTATACAGCTGTCGTACCATATGCTGCTATCACGGCTGTAATAAAATAGGAGCAGAGAGTATAACATCTTTACATACTGTTTTTTCATATTTGTATAAAGACGTGGGGTGAAACCCGCGGGTAAAAGCTAGTATACAATAAAAATTAACTTAAAGCTTAATATATGTAAACTTTTTACAATTTTCCTTCTAAGCTATAAAATAGTTTACGTATAATTAACTAAGATAGCATGTTCTCGATGCTGTCGGGATGGACATGATTCCAAGAAGTACCGTAAATATATTACGTGTAGGACATGCGGTCCAAGAGTATAATTTCCAGAGCCGCCACAACTGGGCGGTTGTAAGGACTGGTATATGCATAAGACTAACATGAAAAACATTACGAAAATTTCCAGTATGCAGCTCTCAAGAAAAGCAAAAAGTCCATATAAAATGACGTACAAGAAATGGCTAAGAAATTTTCATGTGTCAAATTTTCTAAAGGCAGTGCGCAGTTCTTAAGAAATTTGCTCCGCTTTCTACTACACTTTTCTAAAGTTTTTTGTGAAAAACAGCACAAGGCAACCCACTTTAATTCTATTATCAAATCGAGTTTCCAAACAATTCTAATCGCTAACTTTTTGTTTCTTTATTTACAGGATGCGTCATTTTCCAGTAGATTCTATTTTCAACCGTTTTTAAATTGTTTTGCTAACAACAGTTTTTGTGTTCGTGTACTTGTGGCGCATTGTTGAGGTAAACCGAGAAATTGACGTGAATAGTAAAGCTCTCCGCCAAACAGGCGCAACACGTCAGATGGCATAAATTAGCATCGCCTAAATTGCCCTGAGCGGATGACTGCAAATACCAAAACATCAATAAACCCGCATTGAACCCCAATCCACGAAACTGCAAACACCCGCACATACATCGATGCCTACATAGACGCAGGCGCCCAGAGCGATTGTTGAAAGCGGGCAAACGTTTATCATGCTGCATATTTCGCATTCAGAATTTAACATCACCATCAGCGGTGCCAAAGTTGATTACTACGGCGACCTCGTCAGCGGCAGTGTGGCTGGAGTAAGCTTAAATCGCATTTGAAAGAGTGGAATTTTCTCAGTACAAGTGGCAACGTGACGACGTGAAAGCTTCGTTAGCATCGTATTTCGGAAAGCGTGCTGAGGACTTAATCCCTTTACCCATTCAACAAACACACCTCGCCCCCCGCATTGTTGCCATCCATTGAACCAAATATACATCCGAACCCAAACGCCCACCGTTATTATCGCTGCAAGCACAATTCAGTTTTCCATTATACCCATTTAACCTCTTTTATTTGAATTTACTGTTCCATTCGTCTCGACTTAAGCGCCGTCATTCGCATTCGCAGTTTTTCTTAAGGGGATTTGTTAAAAAAGCTGGCTATAGCGTTCCCTTTAAACCAGTCAGCCACTAGAACGTTACAAGCGCATTGTCCACACAAAAGTGCTCAGCGAAGGATTGGAAGCGGGGCACTGAGAGCTAGAGAGGAGCTGGTTGTGTTGGCGGTGCAGTTAGCAGCTGGCAGCCATAATTTTTTGTTGGTGTAATAAAAATCGTCGTACACGTAATTCGTGTTGCTTATGTCGGAACATGCCAATAGATATGCAAAAAAACGTCTCCGTACAAGTTGATAGTGATTTTGCTTTACTTCTGCCTAGCGGTGTTTACGAGATTAAGAAAATGGAACCACGCTCCAAAATACGAACAATTATTTTATTCTGCCTATTTTTGGCAATTGCTGGTATTATTGGATTCGGATACTTCTGTCAAGATCAGGTAAGCGATAATAACAACAATCTCACAGATAATTTTAAATAATATTTTGCAGTACGCTTGGTAGGCTAACGAAAACAAATTTTTTAATAACCACCCTGGTTTGAGGGCATACAATTTTGGAAGGGAGGATTTTGGCCAAATTAAAACTTCTGTCATGTCGAATCCCTGAAAACAGCCAAAATCGCTTTTTCTTGTTTGTTTAGGACCCGATTTAGAAGTGCGACTGACTTCGAAAACGTACAGCTGGAAAGCATTTATACTTTTTGACTACTTTATTTAAACTGCAACAGTATACATTATACAAAACCCCAAAAAATATATATGATATTAACTAACTACGTATGACATTAGACATTAGTAAATATGCTCGAAAAACAACAAAAAATGTATTTAAGTACCGTTTAATGTTTTACGGACGGAATTAAAAATTGTATATTTTCAGTGCTGTTAATATATTGATTTAGTTGTCTTTGTTTTACTGTTATTAAAAATAATACGGATTATATTACACTAAAATATGAATACTTAATTTATTTTCAAAAAATTTTCCAGTTAGGTTAATACTTTTAAATGGAACCAATGGAGCTACTAAATTGGTTTTAGTGGCGTTGAAGAATACCTAAAAGACACCTAATTCCTGCATATATGTATTTCGAAAATTAAAAAAAAAAAAATATGATTGTTCAGCTAGGTTAACAGCGCTAAGCTAGCTGAAAACCACATTTTTGCGAATTTCGCGGAAACCAATGGAGCTACTAAATTAGTTTTAGTGGCGTTGAAGAACACCTAAAAGACACCTAATTCCTGCAAATATTTGGAAAATTTAACGATGGGTCAGCTAGGTTTACGTAAACCTAGCTGACCCACACATTTTTGCGAATTTCTCGGAAACCAATGGAACACCTAAATTAATTTTGGAGGCCCTAATTAACACCTAAAAGACACCTAATTCCTAGCTAATTTTTATTGATTTTTGGCGACTTGGGTCAGCTAGGTTTATGGACGTTACTTTTAATCTCTTTAATAACACCAATGCCTTCCCGTAGAGGCAAATCTTTGATTTTCAATAAAATTGTTGTATCCAAGCAGATGCAATGTTTTCTTGTTATTATTTGTAAACACTTCTTTAGTTCGACGAATAAAAAAAACGCCTAAAAAATGCTCAAGAAAAGCCAATTTTTCTTAAGCAGTACGGAGTTCTTAAGAAATTTGCTAATATGGTTTCTAAAGTTTTTTGTGAAGAAAGAGTATTATTTCGGAAAGAAAAATTGAGACTGTGAAATATGTCAAAATAATAGCAATTTTTTTCTTGACCGTTTTCTTAAGAGGTCCGTACTTAACTTTGTACATTGAAATAAGCAAAATAAGCATGGTCGTTAAAATTAAGCTTGGAGACCCTGAATAAGAAAAATAAGCAATTCCAAGCAAAAGCTTAAAATTTTCGACCCTGCAGCTCGTTTCTGTAACAATGCTCTACCAAGGCGAATTGAGATATGAATTCGCCGCCCTGTTCTCTACTGCTAATGAGTAGTAGAGAATGACGTATATTCTCTACCAGTAGAGAAATAATCGGTATAGAAGAGTTACAGAAACGAGCTACTGGTCATAACTAAAAGAGTTGTGACGATGCTTTGTTTTTTTTTTTTTGGGGGTTACCCTGTTATGCGATACGAAAGAGAAATGCGATGCGATAGGACAACGCCACTATGTATTACTTACGATGAATTTGTGCGAATGCGAATCATTCGTTTTCGCATCGAATTACATAGTAATTCCCCTGGTTTTTTATTAAATATTTAATACAATAAAGTGCCTTAAAAATTGCATCACTAGAATAGGCACAGCAAGGGTAGCATCCTTACATACATACATATGTATGTGTATGAATAGCAACGTTAATCAAATTGCCCTCAATATCTTTTAAAGCATATGAAAATGTTCTTCATAAAAGAGCAACATTTGGTAAAAAAATTGAGGACCTCGCAAACCCAGGACTTTGCAGGCGATTTGCTGGGGACAAAATTAAATGAAGGGCAAATATTATTGACAGATCTATCTGACAGTCTGTGCACTAGCGTGGACCGAAAATCCGCTTTTTTAGAATTTTGATTAGTAATAGCAAAAATTTGGGTTATTATGCTCTAAAAAAAACCTGTGTGAAATGTAAAAATTTTTGGTCAATATCCTAGTCAAAGTTCAAGTACTACAAAATTTGTTTTCTTAGCTAACTTCGATTCTCTACAAAAAAGGTCCATATACCAACTTATTTAGGACTAATACTTTCGAAGATTATTACAATTTTAGTAAAAAAATGTATTAATTAGTTTTTATTTTTTGAGCATATTGAACTTTGGTCGACTTGGGCGAGCCTAGGATATTAACCAAAAAATTCCAAATTGCACACAATTTTTTTAAAGCATAATGAACCATATTTTTGCTTATTACCAATCAAAATTCTAAAAAAGCGGATTTTCGGCGCACGCTACTGTGCACAGTATCTTATAAAAAAAAACATGGAATGGAACCAAAACACGGTGAAGCTTATACCGTGCGAGTTCTGCTTCTTATTGTCTTCATCCTCACCTTGAGCTCACCTTAAAAACACGACTAGAATTATAGCGCACGCCTCACATATTTTGGAAGGAGGACTAGATAAAAATATTTTAAAGAATATTCTCTGACATTAACACTTTAAAAATAATTTCATTGAAATGTTGGACGTTGCATATTTTGCAGCGATAGGAAATGTTGTTTCCCATGTATTTTGTTGTTGTGTGTTTGCAAGTTATGGAATCCATGCAATCCGTGCTAGGTGCAATGGCTTTGCAAGATTTGAAGAATACCCCTATTATGTTTGTGTAATTCTCGTTTTGTGGAAGCTAATTTGGTAACATTTTATGCGTTGTTGACACACTTTTGGCAAAACGTTGAGACTGTTCGGCGTGCTATGTTTTTCATTCAGCGCACATCACACAAAGCAAACTGTTCTTAATGGTATTAAACGTATTTTTATTTAGAATTCTTTATTCTTACATTTGAAGGTCCCTTCTTGAGGCTGAAATAGTCAGCGAGACGTTCAGGAATGTCATTGCATAGATTTCCGACTGGTCTGAATAAATTCGCTTTTAAGCCATTAAACGCTAACTAATTTTTGGACTACCCTACTAGTCACATTAATTGCTTTGCCAAATTTGTGAATTTTATTGCATCATGGATCACTAAATTAAATATCGGGACGGTGGAGCAACACATATGTATATATGTATGTATGTATTGCTACTTGACTTGACGACTGCCATAAGTTTAATAAAAACACGACTTTAAATCTACGTAAATGTTCATTGCCGCAACGCTTAGACAAATTTAATCTGTTTTATGAATATTTCACCTCACGCGCCTTAGAACACTCGTCTGCCTAATTTGCGTTTTGATTTATGACACATGAAATGTTTCAATTAAATAACATAATCCAATTTTAATTACATACAATGGATGTATGTATGTATATTGCATTTCGCTTATATGTATGCACATGTATGATTCGGAATTGAATATATGGTAGGGAAGCTATGTGTTTACCTCTGTGTGTGCATGTACGATTTATAAATTTTAATTAAGTTGTTCGGTGACAAATGCCGCGCGCGATTTAATTTTTGTTATTTTCACTGCAACGTATAAGCTCTCAAGCTGCAGTTGACGCAGAGAAAACGCGGCAGTTTGTCTCGTTGGTCGAATTATATCACCGGCGGGCCGCACCGCACCGGTTTACAGAGATGTTAAGAAGTGTATGTCGTCATTTCTTGAATTAATTGCCCCAGAGAGGAAAAGAAAAATAAATATTCGTCTAGTTTATTTTTAAATTATTTAATGGGTGTATGTATGCACATGGCTGTAAATGTATCTGCCATTGACTGTGCTTGACATGAGCTCGCTGCTAGCTGTTAGCAATAGTACAAGTGTAGATAAAATATTTAATTTGCCCATCGACTGCAGCGCCTGATCTAGATTTCTTTCAATTTATCTTTTAACCCTTTCATGCACTAAACTTGTACAGGGTATTTACATTTTTATTGGTTATTTTGAACTATATTTCGGTCAAATAATAAAAATAACTATTTTTTTTTAATTTCGTCTCTCCTAAATACTAGTTTACTAAATTGTTCTACATGTGCAATATAATGCATTTATAGAGTAAAATGAAACTCTTTTAGAAAATTAAATTGATAGAAAATGACGCTAAAATGCTCTAAAATCAAGGTGACGAAAAATGCAAAACTAAAGCAGGATTTAAGTTCTTTTAACACAATTCATTAAAAAAATATACCGTAGATTTAAAGATAAGCGCATTCAAAGTGCAATATTTTATAGGAAAAATTAATGCATGAAAGGGTTGAACACAACTTCTGCTGTTGCTGCTAAGTCGCGCGACATTGACATTAACAGTATGAAAAATATTTACATAAAGTATTTTGTGTGTTTGCATGCATAAATAAGACGGTTCAAGAAAATTTGGAGGAGTGTGATCTACAAAACAAGACAAAACTCACCGTATATATATGCTTATTTCAAATTCGTTTCTCTCTACCACGTATAGTTTTTGAAGTGTGAAAAATGGGAACTGTCAAAAAAAAGGGACAGTCCAGCGCCTTCGTCTTGGTCTGCAGGCTGTATCGGAGATACAGGCGCTAAATATTAACGTAGAATACGTGGTATGGTTAGGAGCATATCCAAGTAAAAAACTAATGCACACACTAAAAAAAAAATATCGATAATGGTATCGATAGCAAAATCAATAAAAACCTCGACAAAAAAATCGATGAAAATATCGATATCAAAATCGATGACAAAATCGATAAAAATATCGATAACAAAATCGATCAAAATATCGATTATAAAATCTATCGAAAAATCGATCACCAAATCGATTACAAAGTCGATAACAAAATCGATAACGAAATTGATAAAAATATCAATAACAAAAGCGATAACAATATCGATAG